TTGGAACGTATTCAACTTGTTTTTGTCCTTGAGTTTGGTGCTGAGTCCTCCTTTTCTGGTTGTTTCTCCTGCAGGTGAGTCTGGTTGTTTATATGTTTTTATAATTATTATTGTTATTTTGTTAAATACATGTTTTAACTACCAGCACCCTCCAACAGGTCTCCTTTGGAGGTTTGTTAGGCCCTAACAGGTTTCAATTGGTGACCTGTTGGAGGTGCTGGTATATATGTATGTTTACTTGCATGAACATCCTTGTGCTTAGCAACAGCACTTGCAAGACTGACTAAACTGACTAAACTGCAGCGCAGAACTCAGGACCTTCCGATCCTTGCTGGAAGCGAACATCTCCTATTGCCTCTTAGGAGATGATGGGCCCTACCGGCAATTGCTCGGTGCACATGAGGGTGGGGATCCCGCTTCGCTGAAGGCATTCAAAGAGAAGCACCTCGGTAATAATAGGGCAGAAGGAAATCTGGAACGAATTAGATGGCACAGCGACAGACGTGGTGAACATACGAATCAAAGACTTATGGAGCATCTTTGAACCACGGCCTGTGAAATCAGGTAGCGCCGGAGATGTTCACATGATTTCTTTGGCGATTGTTCTGTGTTTTGCTATATCTAGACCAGGTACATGCCTTTCTTCGTGGAAGACTTCCGCTGGACTTCCCAAAACTATGCCTCCATGGCCTCCCGCGTTCCCGAGCTCCGCCGCTGGTGGTCCCTGGCGGAGCCCCTGCGCGCGGTGCTGAGCACCGCGGAGCGCGGTGAAGGCGGTGCGCCGACGGCGGTGACGCTGGAGGAATTTGCGGAGCGCATTGATGCAGAGGAGAAGACGTCTGGCAAGGACCGGGCAGGAACCCACACCTCAAAGAGACGGTTCGAATCGAGAAAAAGAAGGTCACTTAATTAGCAAACATGTATCAGATAGGGTTTAGGGTCATAGGCATATCCAAAAGATCACTGAGAGAAGGTGCTGGTTGAGATTTGAGGTCTTGTGATTTGAACGAGTTGTTGCCCAGACAGCCATATGAAACACATATATGTTGATGCACTTGATCATTTCGATGTGTTTGGTAGTTTGCTCCATATAATATATAGTACTCTTTCTTGGGGATGTCGTAACGCCAGAAGATCAAGGTGTATCGTCAGATCCTGCGTTTTTCATCAGCCGTACAGTGTTCTCCAAAAATACGCTGCATGTTTTTGTTTGTTTTTCCATCGCATGGGTGCCGTTTGATCAGAACAATGTTTTCCAGGACAGGACAGTTAAGGTTGGGTTCAGGCGGCACCGTCCCAGCATTATTGTAGCTGTTTTTTAACCTGTGGGTTTAGTTAGTTCGCTTATGATTTTGAGGTGGTCGCGACAAATCACATATGTGGGTTTTTTCATGGTTCTTGGATTGGACAACCCAACACTCTCCTTGGTGCACGTCACCGGTGGTTCCAGCAGTTGGGGCGACGACGGACGTCTCAAGTCTGATGCGCGGACGCGGAGAAAACGTCGCTGGATGTTCGCGGACAGGAGCTGGTTTGGAAGTCCTTTGAGGAGATCTTCCAATCCAAACTCACACCCATTTTCCGGCAGCAGATGCAGCTTCTGGAACCGCAGGAGACTGGCAGGGTGGTGCCTTCAGATGTTTTTAATGTTCAGCTTACTTGCACTGACCAATCTGTTTCGATTCGTTGAATCGTTGAAACCACTGCAGGAGAGCTTGTTCCGTGCTTTCGCGCGCTACATGATGGGACAATGCGCCCCTTGATCAAAGGCGACGCGATTCGTGGGACCAGCGCCAATGGCTGTTAAGGATGTTGCTTTATGTAAGGATCCAAGTGGTGAGAGTGGTTCCTTTGTGTCTTCGCCTGTGGTAGGTCATGACATGGACATGTTTTTGCGGCCTTCATGTATGTCTTTGGTCTTTCATGTAAAGTATGTTCAAGGTATAGGGCTTTCATGAACTTCATGTCTTGAATTGCTAGAGTTGCTTCGCCTATAGCGGCAGCATCGGGAAATTTGGGTTCGGGGATATAGATCTATCACAAGGCCAAACAGTAGACAGTCAATGTTTGGATCATGACAACAATATAGTGGATTGAGAATAGATGGCACATACCCCAAGAGGTGGTTTATATGGACCTGCATCTAAAGGACATCATGGGGTCTGTGCCATCTACTCTGAAGCCACTGTACAAACATGGAATGAATCCAGCACTGCATTCCTTCCAACGGATTCTTGACCTTCTAGTCTTATAACTTATGAGTTCCAAATCTCTGCCCTCTTTAAATCAAATCCCACACATCTTCCCGAGGCTGGTCCCGAGTTTGACCCATCGACTGGGAGCAGCCCAGGTGCTTTTTGCTCGTTTCAACTTCTTGCCAGAGTCACTTGGATGGGGAGCTCAAACGGAACTGGCAGATTTTTTTGTGCTTCTCGATCCTTTTGCAAGAGCTCTAAACCAGTCCCTAAACCCTAAAGCCCAGTGGTGTATATAACCCATTTGTTTTGCATTCCGTCTCATGCATGTTGTATTATGTTGTGTATGATTGTGTGTGTGTTTTGTTTCGCCTGGCATCCACTTTTGGGTCCTGAATGCAGACCCCGGGACCGTTCAAAAGCCCTTTACAAGGAGTTCCTGGTGTTGTTCCGAACCGAACAGTCGGTCCACCGGAAAGTGCCACGGTCCACTCTGGGAGAGCAGACACTCACCACGCCGGCCCGTGACACGGGCCGCCCCCGGTGAGCCACCGCGGCTGACGGTGGCCACGCGAGGGCGGAGACTTGCCACAAGGAGATCCTGCAGGCCGATCTCGGGGACGGAACACGTTTTGCAGAACAGAACGAACACGTCATACCACTACTCACTACTCCTTCCTCCTTCTTGTAGGGTGTGCAACTGGGCAACTGGAATGTCCCGTGCATTTGCAGGTTTGAGCGCCGTTTTGGACGTGCAGTGAGGCCCATTTTTATCCATGGAGGCCCATTTTTATCCATGCCATGCTTATGTCATGTGTGATAGGTCATTGGAGTCATTCTAGTTCACCGTACTCACCCCAACGTTCCTATTACCTAGCCCTGGATCGAAAATTTGACTGAACACAATCATTTGTTGCTCTTCGAATTGATCAAACACGTCCATCCAGAATTTGTGAGAACGCCACGCAACATTCAGCTCTCAGCTTCTTCAAAGTACCCGTCCTTGACATCCCAGGATTTTCGGTCACTTATCGCCTGCAAAGGGTCACAAACAGAGACTCCGAGGTCATGAACTGAAGGTCCTGGTTGATCCCTTCTAAGATTTCGGGTGGGTTTAGAGGGTCCTGGCATACCTTGTGAGGAGGTATGCCGGGAGTCTTGAACCCATCAGAATCTCCCGATTCCGCTGGAGGCCATCGCTATTAGTAGGTTGGAGGTCATCACCATTAGGTTGAAGGCCATTGCTAGAAACAAATCAATTCCAAAAAGGACACGTAAACATCGATAGGTTGATCGCCAGGTCCTGACCGAGGCTGCGAGGAACTCCTCGCCCCCGCGTTTGGGCGAGGAGGAACTGCACCGTGCTCGGAGCCACTATGCGCCTCGGCGCGGCACAACGCGCGTGGGGAGAGAGCAGGGGGAATCGGTGGACGCAGGCCGAAGCGGGGAGAGGAGTCAAGAGTCAATGGTCTAGGTAGGTGCAGGTGCTGTTCTGCTGCGGGTGGGCAAAGAAACGTCGAAAGGGGTGAGTTCACGAGAAAGGCAACTCTAAAAAGTCTAAGACCATTTGGTCTGTAGCCACAAGGTTCCTTTCCAAGATTCCAAAGACATCTTTGTTGCGCTTTTGCGCACCATTCATTGTGTGGTCTAACACTGAAGCATTTCCTTACAGGATTGATCCAGTACCTCTCCCCTTTGCAGTTCAGGAGAGCTTCGTAGATTTGCTTCTGGAGCGACAGCTCATCACCTTGGACGATGCCAAGACGTTCAAGGAGGAGCGCATGGCACGCGCGTGCGGTGCGCACAGAACACATTGTTACCACGGGGAAGGAGTGGATCTTGCGTCCCAATGTGAACGTATGGTAACTATAGACCCATCTCCATGAAAGGGGAGCGGGGAGCGAGTGCATTTTTCAGAGGTGTGAGCCGCCCAAGTGAAACCGTGGACAGCTTTTGTTGCTACAATTATATGTATGTCCTTGTTTTTTTTGTCGCAAGGTCAGTCAACCCCCCCAGATGCTTCTCCAGATGTGTTCTAATTGTTTACGTCATGAGGACTGTCGTGAGGGTGATTGACCACCAGATAGCTCGCCCTTGGAATCCGAAAGACAACAACAGTTGCTTCATTGCTAAACGGATTAATCCTCTGAGCTCTGGAGGCCTTGAGGATTGAAAGTCTGAGTGGGTTGGTTGGTGTGTTGATTGGATATATGTTTCATTCCATGTTCATTGGTCGTTGGTGCTGCGGACGCTGGATGCTATTCTTGGACAAGGATACAAGGATCTACACAGTGTATCAGTGTATGGCAACGATCTCATGGCCACCACATGCCACCACCCACAAAATCAGAAAAACAAAACTAGCTGAAAGCAGTTGGTCGCTTGGTCTTGGGGCCCTTGAACGTAATTTTCTGGTCCAAGGGGGGCCACTGTGGCACTGCCAGGTGTGCCCTCTCTTCGATCCCTGCTTCGCAGCCTATGACGAACCGCTGTCACACTACGAGCAGCTGCAGAAGGTCCGGGCGACTCATTAGGCTTAGGTCCCTGGCGGAAGTCCCACCCCGAACATGGGGCGCTTGCCCCGACCGAATTTCATCGAACATTGGTTCAAGACAGCCATCACCTGGGAGAAGTTTTCATGGTTGTTACTAGTAGACTAGTGACTAGTAGCGTTCTTGTTCCTAGTAGGAATGCCAGGAGCTACTAGTAGCTTCTTGCTCCTAGTAGCGATTCTCCTTTGTTCCTAGTAGCTTCTTGTGCATGGTGTCTGGGTGTACCCAGCCGCGCTCAGGTGAGTCAAGAGATCATTGGTGAGTCTCCATCAGGCAGGGCTTTGCAATGCTTCCAACCAGTCAACGTGTGTGCAAAGAAGGAACACCGGCATGAACTGTGGAGGTTGCCGGTGGCCACTCATCATGTCTGGTTGTCGACCCGAACTCGTTGGGTCAAACGATCGCGATGGGTTGGGGCATCCCGTCCCCACGGACTCTTCCACGGTTGGAGTGAGCCAACATGAGCCACGAACCAGCAGCCATCGCGCAGTGTTTGATGTATTTTAAGATATTGTGCAGCAAAATTGCCTATTCTATCTTATGAACGGTCAGAAAGAGGGGATGTTCCAAGTATATGATTAAATAAACATCATCCAACATGTCACGATCACTTTCCCAAGCGACCTGGAGACCTAGCGTGAGGTGAAGTCTACTCTAAGTCCCAAGCCAGCTTTGCAGTGCTCAAGTCCTCCGTGATGTCAATCCTCCACCTTCATTGAGTTTCCTCAGATGTGACATCCGGTGAAGATCGCTTCCCCAGGAGGCTACGGAAGGAAGTCTGAACGTCCACGCAGGTCCGTTCGAAGCACCTTGGAGTGGTCACTTTTGGTCGTTGCTGCATGGTGCTTGGTCGAACTGGTGGTTAGCTGGGATGGTCAATGAATCCTCTGAAGCCTTCAATCCGTAAGCTACAAGGAGTCGTTTGTCATGGTCACTAATTACCAGAGAGTGGATAGTTTGCAGGTCAAGAATTTGTTTCCCTACGAAATAGAAACCATGGAAATCATGCAAAGGCTGGTTTTCCATTGCTACCCCGTTGTTTCGGACTTCACCAGAGGAAAGCACTACAAATTACAGATTGTGAAGATTGGATCCACTCGCAATTATCTCAGTGAATCTTTCTTTGGACTCCAACTGAAACTTGGGAGTCATTTGGCTGTGAGCTTCCTTTTTCCGTGGGTGCTTGGTTTCGGAACTACCAAGTGATACCAAGATATACCAGAACCCTCCAAGGGGTGCCCAATGGAAGCCTATAGGTAGTGTGGGGGTAGTTCATTGGACACCCCGACAGGAGGGTCCCTTGGAGGGGTTCATTGGACACCCCTTGGGGCTTGGACTGGGATGACACAGAAAACCAAACCGGACATGTCGCCCCAGAACCAACCGGGTCCTTTTAGGAGTCCCCTTTTTCTGGACGTGACGTTAGCGACCAGAGCCAGGGTTTACAAAGTTGAATGACCTTGATATGTCTGTGTAACATCTTTATAACATGAATGGTTCTTCGGAATCGGTGGTTCAACCGGCGGGTTCGAATTCCGGCAAACATTGAACATCATTGAACCGACCGGCTCAGAGATCTCTTCGCAGCGTGAACCCACGCACCGGTCCCGGTGGCCATCGGTTTGGTTGGAACGGGCACTTGACTCCGTGAGGGGTCCACGGGTCCGAGGGGAGTCGTTCTTTGTTGTTTGAAAGTTATTTGTGTGGATCTGTCCATAGCAACGCAAAGTGGAAGTCCAATCTCCGCCAAATGTGCCTTTTTGCTCAGTGACTTTTGCTGAAAAACCCGAAGACCTCACTTTTGTAGAACTGCCGACGGAACCGCCGTGTGCCCACCGGCGAAGCCGACGGCACCGCCCGAGGTCAGAAGGGCGGAGCCGGCGGAGCCCAGCTACGTACCTCGCCTGACCTGGCTACCGCGACGCGTTCGGAGCAGGGTCCATTCCTCGTCTCGCGCTGTAGAGACCTAGCTGGTGGAGTTCCAAAACAGACGACCGGGGTTTCCATTCCGGAGGCGTGACACAGCGGATGCTCATTAAATTCATTTCAAGTCTGGTGCATGTTTATTGTACATGTATTTGATGCATTTGTTTTATATTTCTACTTCGGAGTTCCATGTACTTTCGAGGTCAACATCAAGTGTCAACTTGGCGAAGCAAGCGAAGAAGGGTTGTTTGGGTGGCAACATTTTTTTGTGCCAATCATCCACGCAAGAAAAGCTGCCGCTGGCAGAAGGGGAATTCAAACACAAATACATGTGGCCTGGCAGATGGTCCAGATGGTCCAGATGGTCACCCCTTCCGCGCTCGCCATCGCGCGACCCGAACGTGCCAGGACCCTGTGACTGCTACATCAAGCATCATCTAACCTTTTATGTCGACCTGCCAGTTCCTACTGTGCCACAGAATGAGAGAACCTTCAAGCCCAGAAGCCTGGATTCCAGACACCACAGCGGTGTTGTTCATGTTTGAAGTGTTCAAAACCAACTATAGCTGGTCCGACTGCCCCCCCTTTCTATCGTCCTTTGTGTCGAAGAAAAAGGGCCCAGGAAGTGATTTCGTCCCAGGAAGTTTCGTCCAAATCAACTCACCGAGTCAGCAACTTTGAGTTACAAGGGTGGGGGGAAAACGCCTGCCCTTGAGGTTGGGTCCCTAAGCATGGCTGAGAGGAGCACTGAGCGATTCTGCTGCAGAGCTGGTATTCTTATGTCTTCCTATATGCCACATCATGTATGTTGGATTTGTTGCATCAATTGGATCACATCTGCAATCCATCAAGGTTTGGAGCAAGGCTGCTTACCCTTGGTTTCAGAGCTTTCATTGATTGATTAGGATGATCTATTTGCCTCTTCGGTGCCTAGGCTGGCCTTGTACAGATCGCCGCAGGCCCGCCGCGTAGCCATGTGGGCCCGGCCCTGCCGTTTTCGGTTCGCCTAAGGCGCGCCGAAAGCGACGGAGATGGAGCTTGTCGGGCTGACGTGTACAGTCATCCCTGTGTGGGCCAAAAGACCTGCTCTTTTCATTGGTGAAGGGTTGCAGGGGCGAAAGTAAGGATTGAACGGAACGGCGACTGGTGACTGGTGACATGTGAGGAATCCGAAACGGTTTACCGGAGACGGCTTTTACTCATGCATCTGCAACCGGTAGATATGTTTTGACCTTCAATTGTGGCCAATGTAAGATGACATTGCTGCAATCGGCTGCAATGCATTCGTGCTTGCATGCGTTGCTACTCCATTTTCCCCAGAGTTTATCAGGCTGTACACTCCCTGAAATAATCATGCATGGTTACGGGGATGGCACCACCTATTTGGTACCAAAACCCAGAGTTCATGGTCAAAACGGAGTCAAACCGGGTCATTTTCCAATCCACGTACCATGATTTTCAGGGAGTGTATCAGATCATGCCAAATTTCCTGTTTCGGTGACTCGAAAGTTCGATCGATGGTCCCATGTCAACCCTCGACCGTCGGTGTCACAGATCCTTCCGTAACGGGTTCGTACGTGGTTCGACCTGCAGGCCCCACCGTCTGGTTGTCCACCCCAACATGTTTTCCAAGACATAGACACACGTTTTTTTTCAGGGAATCTGAGGGAGTCAGCCGCAAGGCTTGAACACTTGGCTGCATCCTTTTGCCTAGACCACTTGTTCCGTCTGGGCTGTTCCAACAGTCCAGACCCTAGCTGACCCCTTCACTGCAGGGGTGGATCCGCCTAAGGTTCATAGCAGACCATACTGGCCCTTTGAGATCCATGGTCCGCATCTTCTCCTGTTAGGAACAAGAAGCTACTAGGGGCTCCTGGCATCGCTACTAGGAGCGATCGGCCGCTACGCCGCTACTAGGGCCTTCTGGCCGTACTACGAACGGAGAAAGGACGCCACTAGTAGCAATGGCCTCCACCCTATTTGTTGGGTTTTCTCGATGTTTTGAAAGCCATGCTTTTGAAGACACGCACAGATCTCACAGCCACAGCATGTGCATGTCTTGTTGGCTTTAAAGCACTCGTAGAGTAGAGGTCACTGACCTTTACCTATTATAAATGAATCCAAAGGGTGTGCCGTGGCCCTTTAGCCAAAAAACACATCTTTGGTGTCCCTCTCATGTGAAAACACGACACGTGTCCGCTCTACTTGGACCTGCTCAAGCGGCATTGTATCTGCCAAGCAGAGGGCGAGTTTCATGGTCGTGAGCTCAGGTGTCACACCAAAGGACACAAATGGAGCCTTCAAACCTGTGGCCATACAACGAAAAATACTGTACTGTAAAGACATAGAAATACCAACTCTGACCAACACTGAAACTACTGAACCTATTGGATTGTACGAGCCCAGAATCTTCCAAGATTGTGCTTTTATATACATTTGGTGTATGCTGGACAGGCCACGCTACCACGCTCCGGCCATTAGAATCTGTGCTAAAATGGAATATTGAGCTAGCTATAGTTGTCGAATGCGTCAAGTCTTCGTTCTAGAGCCGAGCCGAGCCATAGAAACCAATCTATATAAACGAACGAAACCAAGATATGACTCTACTAGGACCCTCCTGTCGGGGTGCCCAATGGAAGCCCATAGGTAGTGTGGGGTAGTTCGTTGGACACCCCTTGGAGGGTCCTGGTATGATCTCCAATACAAGGACTCACTTTTTTTGGTACATTTAGGAACCTCTATGCACTTCTGTGTGCCTTTATTCAACGACAACGCCCCTTGCACTGACTCCAAAGGTTCTCTTTCAAGAACCAAATGTGCCATTGGCCATTGGGTAGTGCCTGAGGCAAATGATCCATCGAAGTTCGACCAAATATGGAGAGCAGCCTGCGAAAAGGAGACTCTTGAAAATGAAGTGGTTGATCCAAAAGGTGCAAGTCACTGGACTAGTATTTGGTTGCTGGATTCCTGTAACTTCGCCTCCCAAATTGTGGCAGTTTGATGGTACTTTGTGGGTACACAACTGATCGATTCGAGGATTTGTGCGTCATATTTAGTTGAGAACTGACACAGAGGGCAAATCCTCAAGCTCTGGACTTCTGCCCGTGGCCATCCAAATCGACAATCAGTTCTTTAAGACGTTTTGGATAGTAGTTCCTTTGAGTAGCCTTGTATTAACCTGACCAAAAGCTAGTGAGCAAGCGGCAAGTATCGAGTAGTGAAAGACAACCTAGACCTGACCAGAACCACCTGAGAGGAGATTCCAGCTTTGAACAGGGTTGCCCTTTATTGGTGTTATGGGCGGGGCGGCAGCTCAGACTGGTTCATTGGCAGGAGATGCTCTCCTGGCAGAGTCCAACCACACTGCTGAAGCCCCGGACTCAGCCAAGTCCAATGACGGCAGTTGGCAGTTGTAGCATCAAACAGCGCTAGCCACTGTGGCGTTACTGTACCGAACAGGGTTGAACAAGTGTGGCTTTTGTATGTTGTGCTGCTTCAAGGGTCGTTTCTCAACGTTTTGCTTTGCTGTTTCGTGTCTTAAAAAAGATAGCAATAATATCAAAAACAACATAAACAATCTATATACTACTGACGGTCCTATTCTCCCACCTTCTAGTTGTTCTGAACGTGGTCGCAGTTCATAATCCCCTCATGTGCCCCATTATAGATCATCCGGCTGAGCTGACAAGAGGGTGAGCAACACGCCATCAGTTGTGACCATCATGTTGGGGGTGTATGCACCTTCCACACACCAGCAACATCCAGCAGCATTGTGGATGATGCGTTTGTAGACGATTGTATTTGCCATCAGCTGGGCAAGTGTAGGTATATATTACTAAAACATCGACTGTCATATTCCCAATCTCATCAATCCAGTCATTGTGAGAGTCATGTCGATATCCCATTTGGATGTGTAGTTCAATTGGGGGGGGCCAACCAATGGCTCTTTTGGTCTATTTCTGTCCTTCTGGGGGTTGGTTGAGTTGGTTCACAAGTGGAGACCTCCCAAAAAGCCCAATAATTACCTCTGGGTCTCTCTGGAAAATTGGGGTGCTTCGTATTGTCTTGAATGTCGGGTCACCAAAGCTCCAAGCTTTGAAGAAAGACCTATACCTTGATCAGCTAAAGAAGATAAGTTTTTCCCGGAGGTCGCTGGACTTGCCAAACAACGCCTCTTCCCAAGACCCTTGCAACCATGTGTTTTTTACCGCTACTAGCTCCTGGCATTACTAGTGACAAGAAGCGAACGTAGCAAGGTGCAACACCCGTGGCTCCAAATGACCTAAGCTCGGTCCAAACCCACCTGGGGGGCCGAGACCTCTGCTCCTTCTCTCGGTCCGTGGGGCCGCGGCACTGACCTCAGGAGCTTGCAAATGCTCCTGGGACCTCCGGAGGCTCCTGGAACCGACTCGCGCGGATCGAGCGGTGCGATGCGTTCGGGTGAAGACGAAAAACATGGGGAGTGAGTGGATGTGCTTGTACTTGGCGGATTAGGCAGGAACCCTGTGTTGATTGGATGGAAAACACACGGCTCGTGCAGCTTGTAGTACGAAGTGAGAGAGGCTATTTCCGGCCGAAGGACACCACATGAGGTTCTTTCCGGGAAAGGCGGCCCCGGCTTCTAGCAAACTCGGTGCATTGAGCCAGCTCAGCTTGACCCCGCGGGCAGGAGGTGATTCTCGGGAAAAAGTCAGGTTCCTGATCAGCAGATGCAAAGAACATGTCAAAACACGTTTGCCTTACACAGCAATTACAAGGGACAGAAACCAAGCATTTGGATACCCAGTTTGACGCCCATAGAAGACCAGATCCATATCTAAATGATCTGATTTTATCCCGGAATGCCAGCCAACATCTATTGCCCATCTCCAAGCATGTGGATTGCAAGAAGAACACATCATCCCTCCAGTCACCCTCTACAGCTTTTTGTCTCGGGTCAGTGGAACACGGATGGGTTTGGACTGACCATTCTTGACTTCAATCCAACCCCCCTTGGCGCGGCGCCGGACTCCGCGGGGTTGCGCGGAAGCGCGGAAGCGCGAACGCTCGCGACGCGGAGTCGTCGTCAGGAAGGAGGTCCCTTCTATCGCGCGCCCGCGTGCGGCGATCTGGCGGGGACCCCGAAGCGGCGATCTGAAGGGGGACGTGATGGCGGATGCGGCGACTCCGAAGCTGTTCAAGTGTTGAAAGGTGAAACAGGAGCTCTAGGCCTCTAGGCTCTATATAAAATAACTCAAAAGCTCTACCTGGAAAACCTGGTGTACCTTTTAAATAGTACACTGCTCCAAGTGCACGGTTTTCTGTATTTCCTAACTTGGCTACTGATGCACAAACACTTTGCACATAGCCCAATCCAAAGAAGTGTATACCAAAGAGGCCAACATCACTGGGACAACTTGCATGCGTCATCAACCACCACCAAAATATGAACACAACAACTCCGCCAATAGCAACATTTGTTCATGTTGCCATTCATGTGGGAAGACCTCTCATGTGCCCTCCTTGGGTGTCACCTCAACAAACCTGAATCGCACCCTGCATGTCAATGTCTTTTCTGACTGCGCTTGCCAAAGTGTCCGTGGTGGGCCTACCAATGAGTGAACAACGCAACCCGGTAGCGGTTCAGCGTCCTCTCATGAACCGTTCTGCTGCTAACGACCTGAGACCTGGAGCAGATTTGCCCGACCAAATCCTCGTCCATTTGCGTGCTGAAGGTAAGAGGCGACAAGGAAGTAATTCCGGCACGCTTCTGAACTTCCAGTTCAAAAACAAGCTCAGCAAACATATGATACTTTGGCTGCAACTTCCACCTGCACATATCGAAAGAGTACGCAAGACGTGCGCACGTCATGAACTCAGCCATGAAAGCCCGCCCAGATTGAATTAGGATGTCACGCTCACGATCGTCCAGCCAAAGCGCTCCATGGTATACAGTTCTCATGAACAAGTTGGCATTCTGAAGCAGGCCAGCCATGGACACAAAATATTCACGCACTTTGTCTTCCAGTGCTGGAATCTCTCCAGCAAGCCTTTGTTCCAAGTAAGCAAGGATCGACACTGTGTCTGCTCCTTTGAACCAGTTCCTGAGTCCAAACCACTGTCTCAGGGAAGATGACCAAATGAATGAAACCATAAACACATGGTTGGACAATTTTAATGTAGAAACATTCAAGGAACCCTGCAGGAAATGCACTGGAATTCGCATAGCCCACGATAGTCCGCGTGAGGCTTTGCAAATGCAACTGCAGCGACTCAGCGCGACAGAATGCCTTCAGATCGCTGTAGATAAGCTCAAGGCACTTCTCAACACTCTCATTTTCGTAGACAAAGTCGACCAAGGCCAACTCAGTCAACGGCTATAAGATCACTTTTCTTGAAAAACTATTAACCAAACAGCACACCAACGAACATCCAAAAACGTTGCCCTGTTTGCAGCGAAGATGCGACTGCATTCGCCCCTGCATCGGCCATGACCCCCTTATGGCATGTGTGAAACAAGTCAATGCGAAAAAACAGATGCTTGTAGGCGTCCCCAAGAGCCAGATTGCTCACAATGCCTGGCTCACGCTGCCATGGCATCGGTAACTCAGAGCGCATCTTGGTCATGTTGCCGAAGGAAACATCATGCCAAGCATTTGAAGGCATACCACCTTTACACAAGTGACAAATACCATGTCCACCCTCTTTCGTCGGGGTATCACGAAGATGATGGCGATTTAGCTGCCCGATCTTCACAAGCGCCGGCCAATCGCCTTTGAATGCGATGGGGACAAGCCAGATCCTCTGAAGGGCTCCCTCAAAGTGCACATCCAACCCTTGCTCAAAGAGCATGCGAAGTTCAGTGGCAAGATGGTCCACAAGCCGTAGAAGCGGCTTGGGGTTGGCCTCCTTCTTGCCCTTCTTCCCACTGTAGACATGCGCCATCATGACACTGTAAACCAATCGGGTGCAAAGTGATTTGCCAACAAAATTGACACCAGGCGAATCTTGATCAGCTTTACGCTTCCTTGTCCCATGCCCCATGCACACTTGGGTCTGTAGAACCAGCATCCCTCGTTTCTTTTGAGAGGTACCTTCATCTGCATGTATGCAAATAGGCACACATCGTCCTAAGTGTGACCCATGCAGCTCGAATACAGGATGCATTGGTTGTTGACCACGCCACTTGCTCCAAAAGTCATGGTACTGTTTTGAGGTGTTGCCCATGAAGAACCAAGAATTCATTTTGCCATTCCTGTCCAGGCACTGGATGGTATCACTCAATCTCAGAGTGGGGTGGGAGCAAGTCAATCCCACGTCAACATCAGTAATTGGGATGTCAGCGGTTAGGTTGAATGCCTGAAACTTGTTCGACATCTCACACTCATGACCCGTCTGCGAAAGACGGGAAGCCATTTGCAAAAACCTTGCGCTTGGTAATCGTGCAGAATCAGTTGAAGATTTGCTCACCTCTTCCCAGAAGGCTGCAGCAATGGTGCAAGCATGTTTTTCACTTACCTCGGAAACTCTTCCCACGCCAAACTCATTTTTTGCAGGATATCTATATACATATATAGCACATGTAGAAACAATAATGAACAATCACCATAAAGCAGGTCGATCCTTGAAAAAGACACTCCAGAAGCTATGGCAGATGCAATCGCTTTTGCTGCTGGGCCAGTGGAAGTTGGAAGCCGCGCTGCGAAGTGGCTCGGTTCGGGTTTGGCACCTGCGCAGGGTAAAGATTGGGAGCCAGCAGTCGTTGGTTGGCTGGTGACCACGGTGACCACGGTCCTACAGGTTGCCGGCTGCCATTTTGCACCCCATCGCAACACTTCACAACCACTGTGGGTTGCCAGAAATCACAATGATGAACATCGCATCACTTGAGTATACCCAAAACGGCCCATAATGGAAGTGTGGCTTGAAGATATCATAAGATAGCACTGAACAAAGCGCATGTGCATGAGTGTATGTGTGGTTTTTGAAACAGATGTCTTGGACTGGACTGTGGAGCGACTTACACCTTACAACCACCTCCCTGGGCCCTGCTACAGCCTTCAAACATCACACGTATGTGACAACGACACGTGTGAATTTCTATAGTGCAAAGACTGCTGTTATATAGCCATGGGGATTCAGGTTGCACTCACTTCAAAGGCAACCGTCGAGGCCATCCAAATTATGACCCAGGTCACGAATGTCTTGGAAACAGAATGCCTTTCTACAACTTCCATGCAGCCTTTACGAGTGCACTCTAGGGCCCACAACAACACATGACTCCGGGCTTACTTGCGAGCTCGTTTGGGTTTCGACTTCGTCGAATCGGCTTCCAGAGCTTCTTGATCCCGCTTTGCCCTCTTTCGAGGCTCAGCGCTAGCTTTGGCGGCAGCCTTTGCCGCTTTGTTTTTCGCCGACGCTGCCTTCTCCTTCGGGACAGGCTTGGTGCGAAGCAGGGTCCTGCAGACGGTAGAAATCAAAAAGCAAAAATACGATTCGAAAGATTCCAGAAGCAATCACACTCACGATCATACGCAGTAAATTGTCAAGAGAGTATTAAGCACGATACTTTCTCAGTTTGACCTCTTCCATCAAAGCTCGGGAAGACCTTCGCAATATTTTGGGATCTGGTAATGTTCATGCGATGGTATGCGTTCATAAATGCAAAGGTCAAGTGAGGGCCAGGCTCCATCTCAATGCTTCCCACGAGCGTCTTGAGCGCATCAATTTTCCTAACATTTGCAGGACCACATGTTTGAGGGTGACACAGCCCACTACTTTTGTAAAATTCAAACCCTGATCTCTGAAGCTAAGTTTCTCCTTGGCGGGGTCAAGACAACACACACTCTGGGCATCAAAATAAGATTTGAGATCAGCCAATTCGTCATGGAGTGAGACCAGCTTCGATTTGAAGCCAGCAATCTTCTCACCACTCCTTATCTGACAGCTTGGTTGCTTGGACTGGTGGGGCGGGCCAAAATGAACTATCCGCAACACACATTATACAGGTAAGGTTCTGCTTCGCTTCAGGAGTATTCAAGTTGTTCAGCTTCTCCAAAAGTGTCTCCATTTTGGATTGGGTCTTCAACAGGTTGCCCATAACGGTACTCACGTTATCCACCGCCTCACATGTATTAGAGCGATCGAGTTGGAATGGGTTGGAGTATACTCAATGAAACTGCATATAAACATTCCCAAGCCATGTATGCTACTGCCTCAAGCGCGCTTTCTAATTCCAAAGGTTTGCCGCCGGGGCCCACGGTGGTCCTAGCATCATCCTGATCCTCATCCTCTAACCCATTCTCATCTTCCTCCTCCTCTTCAGGCACACCGGGTGGCATCACTGGCTGAATGCCAAGATCAAAGGTGGCCGCTTGGCCCTCGACGCAAGTCCGATCTGTCAGGCTCTCTTCATGCTCGTTATCGAAGCTCCCAGTGGTCTCAACATCAACCCAATACTCTTTCACGTTACTCTCGTACTTGTCCCGCCTGCCAAGGGATGCCACTCATAGTTTTAACTCCACAAATATTGAAAGCAAACAATGCTTATAGACCAACACTGTTTGTGCATCAAGCAACCCACGAGAACGCTGTAAAACAAAATACTATATATATATATAACTGCGTTTGGAACAACAAACCCCTCCTGACATGGGTTTTGACCCGCGATGGGTGGGTACAGTATTGCACTGCCTTTGCAATTCGTGTCCTCAGAAACCATGAGCTTCCCCAAAAAGGATTCTCATGAGGGACCATGCATGACCATGCATATATATATATATATATGTGAAAGGATTACACTGAGGTTCTGACGCACTCCATCCAAGTTTTTTCTTCATGTTTTCCTTGGTGTAGAACCCCGAGTCTACATGGATCTTGGTTTTGCGGCTCCGACGCTGCATATGCTCGATGTGTTTCTTGAACGCCTCCTGCATGCATCGCAAAAAAGTTAAGACCAACAACCCATCGTTCAAAGTTGTTCACATGCACACTGACCCAAAAGAGCGTGACCAAGCCCGATCCTTATCCCCATTGACACTGGCCAACACATCCAATAGAGCCTTCCGCTGTGATCCCCCTGCTAGCCACTTCTTGTAGATGTCCTGACTCACCTCAAGCTTACCCGAACCCC